TTCATTTAATAAATATTTAAAAACGCATTATAACTAATGTTATCTGTAGGAAAAAATATATAATAATCAATATAAATTAAATTATTATTTACATCAAATGAAGTATTATAAATTGATCTCACTAATTTATAATATATTTATAAAAATAATAAATTTTAAATAAAATATAAAAATTCTTAATCATTAGAGTACCGTATTTTTTTAGAATATAATATGATGTGTTTATTATTATATAATATGGTGGAAATTCATTCCCCGTATTGGTCACTACTAGAACGTGGTGGAACTGATAAAAAAAAAAAAATGTGGGTGTGTCCCACGCGCAGTTAATACGCACCGTATCGTCGTATTTTGTGGGGGCCAATTATCAACGGTGTTCTCCCCAACTGTCCCACACTAATAACCCGATTTTATTTATTTTTTACTTTTTATATTTCTTCATATCCGATTATAAATATCGTATATATTCAATTATATATCATAATTAATTAATATTTTGTATAATTTTTTATTTTTTATTATTTTTTTTAAAAGTAACTTTTTGGTTAACATTAGACTTAGATATTCTTGATTTACCTTTCTGAAAAATAATAATAAAAATACAATTTTAGATACTCCGCCGAGTATAAGTCAGCACACCGCACACGTACGTACATATATATATATATATATATAAGAACCGGCTACCTTTTCAGCCGGTCAGTCTTCTGTACCTATGTATTCACTTTTCTTCTCTTCTTTGTCGTCACTCTTGTCGCCTCACACAGGCAAAGTTCTCGGCAAGTCAACTGAGTTTTAGGCAGGGAGCTTACAAGTTTCTTTTTTTTTTCTCATTTGGGTCTTTCTTCATTTCTTGGAAAACGTATACCTATAGATACATACATACATACACACACACAGACACACATTTTTGCAATAAGCAAGAAAATGTTATAACCATAAAAAGAAAATTGTGACAAAATTAAAAATTACAGAAGGCAATTACTGGAAAGAACTTTATCAATAGGGCAAATTAAGCATTTTTTTTTGGAATTGTGTGGAAATAATATTGGAAGTTTCTTTTTCAGCTTTTGCTTTTCTTCTAGCAGCTTCTTGGTTTCTCCATTTTCCCATTTTATTGCTCTGTTAATAATGACACATGAAGAACCATTATAATATGTGTATATATATATATATATATGAAAAAGCTGTAGCTTATATTTAATTTATAATTCTGGTTCAAAATGTGAACGCGTGGTAGTTTCGTTTGTAATTTTTCCGCGTCCATTCCGTTGGTCGGTCCACACACTATGACGTACCAAACCCTTGAATTTTTATTTTAAAAAATAAAAACTATATCCTACTATACATGCGTTTGTATATAAATATAAATATATGTTAATTTCAACTTATATTATTTAATTTAATTGTATTATTAATTTTATTTTTTTCATAAAAAAAAATTAGTGTTTTTTAAATTCTATTTTCTCAAAACTTTTTATTTTTATTTTATTGTTTTATTGTAAATATTAAAAAATAAATAAAATTAAGCCCATACAACTTCTTTAAATATAAAGTCAAAATGCTGCAAATTAATGACAAAAAATCCAAAAGAATTAATGAAACATGTGCTAATTAAAAATTGACGGACATCCATCACATGGCAATTTTTATTTTATTATTTTTTTAATATATAATTTTATTTTTTAAAAAATTTTCGGTTTCTATGGTAATTAATTAATTACAAAAAAATAAAATATTAATTAATATTTAATTGTTCTATGTGACAGCCGAGAGGAATGAGTTGTAGCTGTTCAAAATTGACGACCCATTATTTGATATGTGACAACAGTGTGAAGCTTTTCATAATTTCGTATTCCCCTTCCCCCTCAAAAGAATTAAAAATATAACTCAAGCCTCCTACTTGATCCTCCAAAGATTTATATAAACCGGCTGAGAATCCCGCAGAGCCACAACCCATTCTCCTTCCCATACGTTCCTCTATCTTCTTCTTCTTCTCCTCCTTTATCCTCTCTGCAAGCATTCATTTGCCCATATTCATACATACATATATCTGTTGTTTCTAGATCAACACTGATCTTGGATACAAATCAGTCAAGAATGGAAAATGGTGGGGAAGATCTGTATCAACCTCTGGTTAATGGGGATGATAGTAACCGGCCGGAGTTGCAGAGCGGTACTGGTGATCAGATGAAGCAGCAGTTAGAAGTGAGTCCGAGATTAGAGAAGGTTCTGTGCGATACCCAGTTGCCTCGTTTCAAAAGACTTTACTTGGCTTCATGGATCGAGCTCAAGTTTCTTTTTCACTTGGCCGCACCAGCCGTCATCGTCTACCTCATCAACAGTACCATGTCTTTGTCCACTCGTATCTTCTGCGGCCACCTCGGCAACCTCGAGCTCGCCGCCGCCTCCCTCGGCAAC